CAGTATTTGGGCTTTAATCAGTTTCTAGCAAGTCGGCTGGTCAAAACACCTTGCTAGAAATTGATTAAAGGCCAAATGTGGTTGGAGAAAGGTGATTTTTGCCTAAAAATGCCTTGTTCTATTTAAAATAAGATGCTTCTGAATGAAATCAAGTCATATTTGGGCAGATATCCCCTTTGAATGACAGCATTTGGGCTTTAATACATTTTTTGCAAGTCAAAATGGCTATTTTGTGTTGTAATGGTCCTTTAAAAGAGTTCCAAGCTGTTTTGTGAGCTCAGATCTTAAATCATGCATCTCCTGAAGGAAATCTAGTCATATTTAGGTAGAAATAACCTTTGAGTGACTATACTGTGCCTTCAATCAATTTTTGACAGGTGAAAACCGATTGAAAACTGCAAAACAAATAGAAACATGGGAAACTCGTGCTATATACGGCCAGATCAGATAAGAAACAATGCAGAGTCACGAGGATCGTTGCAAAAGTTATCATATCTTTATCGAAAACCCTCCAGTGAATCATATTTATTGTAGTGTAGTCTCCAATGTCAGGGCTACACAAAGTCATCGGACCGAGTATAGAAACATGTCTATCACGTAACTGCCGTTATGTGACAAACGTTAAGCTTTCGAATCTTTAATTAGGCCTATATTATAATTTAATAAGGCCTATATTATAATGCAACTGTGTGTATCTGCATGTCATGACCGTTTAATCCAGAGAAAAGCAAGTTTACGGTATCGCTCAGCAGCTGCGGTGCGCGCTCCCGCGAGCTTAATCAGATTCTCGCAAACATTCACTTTTTCGCACAACACCGGTATCCCGGTAGCTCCGTGCCCCCCCCCCCCCTAAATCTTTAAGATATTTGGTTGAATCTGCTTTAGTTTAGATTCTCATTGGTTTGTTTTTAGTCATGTGACTTATTTTTAGTCATGTGACAAAAACAAGGAAGTGGGCGGGCTACCGGGCTACCGCGCTACCGCGGTAAAATACGAAAAACGGAAAACCGGGAATACCGGGAAAACCGGGGAATATCGGGGAAAACAGCCACCGGGGGAGGGTGGCTGGGCCTCCCCGGAGGGGAGTCCCAGACACCCGACCCCGGTTCGATAGTAACCCCGTAGTAGCCCCGCTCCGAACCCCGGTATCGCGGGAGCCCGGGGACGAAGTAGCCCCGGTAGCCCCCCCTCCGGCCCCCGGTAGCCCGGTTGCCCGGTAGTGCGGTAGCCCGGTAGCCCCCTCTCCGGCTCCTTACCTTGTTCGTCCGTTGCAGTGAGAGTCCGCCATCTTGCCATTTGAGCAAATTTAAATCACTCTGGAATTTGTAAAAAAAAAAAAATCAGGGGTTTTCAAAACATTTAGGGAAACTCCAGATGGGAAAACAAGTAAAAGTTGCAAAATGACATTTAGTCTTTCAAATCTTAATTTTAAACTGTAAACAAGGAAAAAAGTACAAGTAGCTTATAACTGTACTTATAATATAGAATGAATATGACTGTTTTAAAAATATAAAGTAAAATTTAGGGGGACATTATCGCTTTAGGAATGCTTTTATTGTTGAATATGTTTCTGTCCTTGTACAAACATTTAAAATCTCAGCACTTTGAGTCAGACTCTGTCTGACTCAGAGTGCTTGTCAGGGGTTTTTCTCAAACACAATATTCAGCACAAATATTAACAATTGTAAACATAAAACAACTCCACATTACATTGCACTAATTAGATATTACAAAGCTTGCCACTGCTTTTCTGACTGATGCTGAGCCCAGTTCTGTTCTCTACTTTTGCTTTCAGCATATTCATCAGCGCGCACACTAACCAGTAGGATGACTAAACATTTAGGTATGGTCATTTTCATGGGACAGAAAGATGTTTGGAATTATTTATTGTGTGCAAAAGTTTCTAAAAAAGCCTTTAAGGGAAAGGCAGTCAAAAAATGGACTGTTACCTTATCTGTGAACACTTCCGCCTTCTATGTGCAAACACATAATGCTTGACTTTATCCCTAACCCAACTTCTCTTGTCTGTGTCATTTTTCTTCTTAAACTAACAAATCCCAAGGTAATTTATAGCATAGAGGGTTAATCACCTCCAGGTAACCACAGATTTAATTTAACATAAGGGTGATTTTCCGATGAGTCTGAAAGAAGTTGTTATAACTTGTTTAAACACACATTTGCTTCGATTTGGGTGTTAATCTCCCACTGTCCAAAAACATGCATGTTGGGTGAATTGGGTGAATTTATTTACAATTTGCCCAGTCGGAGTGAATGTGAGCGGGTGTGGTTGTGTGTCTCTGTGTAGCCCTGTAAGGGGCTGGCGACCGGTCCCAGGGTGTACCCTGCTTCTCCCCTGTTGTCAGATGGGATAGGCTCCACGTTAATTTGAAGGATATATGGCGTACTGTATACTGTTAAGCCAGAGCTGATAAATACCTATGAACATTGCAGACTGTTTTAATGGATGACTGACTGTTGATAAAGCACTATACTCAAAAGTCATGTTACTGGGATTTGCAACCAGAATTGAAGGGGTAAAAAAAAGGGGCATAAAAGAGAGATTTAAAAAAAAGTTTGCACAGTTGATGGTTATATTGAATAAATGTGATCAAATAGAGACATTGTCAGCACTCTTCTTTTTGTACCTGTTTTCTTCTTTTTTTTTGTGCCTGACCACAGTGCAGCCAAGGATATAGGTGGTTTGGAGGCCGTGGTGGCAAACTCTGCCTAACTCGGCACGTGGAAGCATGGATGGGTGCGCAGCGGCCGTTATGCGTGACAAGAAGATGCGTGCCAGGCTGAAGCTCCCACACATCAGACACTGCGAGCACACGAAGGCATGTGTAGACACAACCTTTGACAGCATGTGTGTCAAAACAGCCCATCGGCAGGCGCCTGTTCCAGCAGTCCCTGGAAAGTGATCCGAACCATAAAAGAAGCTGGAGAACAAGAGGCTGAAGAAACGCAAAGGCTATGAGGTACAGCACTGATGGCATTCAACGTTCCACCAAGAAGCACACAATCAATCATATTTAGTTATGATCGTCCTCATGGCGACCTCAAACGAACACAAAGAAGGAAAAAGCAACTGGAGACAGTACTGAACAGACAGCAGCTCACTTATTTCAGAGTTGGACGTGATGTCTCTTCTCACTACATGAACACTGCTGACACTTTGAAGAATGGACTTTCCCTTGTAATTCTTGGAATAGTCTAAAACCATTTCCTGGATGGGTTTACCTAAGCCATGGTTATTGGATCATCTCAGAAATATTTTGCCCTCATTATTTCATTCATTGGAGATTGCATTTTTCAATGTGCAGGTTAAAAAACATAACTTTGTTTTTAGATATTGCCTTTTGTGTCTTAAGACCCAATTGTGTAAAAAATAAAAACAAATAAAAACAACAAACAAATGTCAGACTGGACCCGTGGTTCCCTTTAACGTGTAAATGTAAATGTAGCTGACGCATCGTATTTATTACACAAAGAGAAAGTCTGTGTAAATTAGAGGTTGACAAAAGTTGAGTTCATTGTGGTGACCAAGTAGGAAAACATTTTTTAAAAGTGTCCATGAGCTTTTCAGAACTATATGCAGTTGGGGTTCAGGTGGTCGTCGTTCACAAGCCTCCCAACTGTGTGTATCTGCATGT